TATATAGATATATATATATAAAATGTGTATATGCTCCAAAACAGGGTCATAAATGGCAGGATGTGCCTACAGATTGAAATGAGCTCATAGCACAATATGAATAATGACATGAGGATGTGTTTTCATGTCCAGCTGTTGGAGGAAGAGTTCAGTCACACAGTTCTACACAGACAAACACCAGCGGCACACAAAGCCTCCAAAAGCACAGGTGTGTGTGTGTGTGTGTGTGTGTGTGTGTGTGTGTGTGTGTGTGTGTGTGTGTGTGTGTGTGTGTGTGTGAGAGAGGAATTAAGCATACAGTAAATAAAGTATAATCTGTGACCTGGTTGATCTGTACCTCTGTGGTGGTTAATCTACTGAAGGTGTTCTCCTGCAGATCAGGTATGCAGAGATCCAGTGCGCTGTAAACCTGCTGTAAAGCCTGCTGTCATCAGACCTGTGCAGAGAGCCAATCAGAGACGGCCGACAGCGAAACACCAGGTGAGATGAAGATGAGCTGCAGACAAGATACACACACTATGAGACTCACTCCTGGACTGCGCTAACATTTTAAGAATATTACTTTCCCTTAACTGGAATGATATAAAACGAATCTATAACAGAGCTGACGGTAACAGAGCTGACGGTAACAGACTTGACGATAACAGAGCTGACGGTAACGGAGTTGACGGTAACAGAGTTGACAGTAACAGAGTTGACGGTAACAGAGTTGACGGTAACAGAGTTGACGATAACAGAGCTGACGGTAACGGAGTTGACGGTAACAGAGTTGACAGTAACAGAGTTGACGGTAACAGAGTTGACGGTAACAGAGTTGACGGTAACAGAGTTGACGGTAACAGAGTTGATGGTAACAGAGTTGACGGTAACAGAGTTGATGGTAACGGAGTTGATGGTAACAGAGTTGACGGTAACGGAGTTGACGGTAACAGAGTTGATGGTAACAGAGTTGATGGTAACAGAGTTGATGGTAACAGAGTTGATGGTAACAGAGTTGATGGTAACAGAGTTGATGGTAACAGAGTTGACGGTAACAGAGTTGACAGTTGACGGTAACAGAGTTGACGGTAACAGAGTTGATGGTAACAGAGTTGACAGTAACGGAGTTGACGGTAACAGAGTTGACGGTAACAGAGTTGATGGTAACAGAGTTAAAGATAACAGAGTTGACGGTAACAGAGTTGATGGTAACAGAGTTGACGGTAACAGAGTTGACGGTAACAGAGTTGATGGTAACAGAGTTGACGGTAACAGAGTTGACGGTAACAGAGTTGATGGTAACAGAGCTGACAGAGTTGACGGTAACAGAGTTGATGATAACAGAGTTGATGGTAACAGAGTTGACGGTAACAGAGTTGACGATAACAGAGTTGATGGTAACAGAGTTGACGGTAACAGAGTTGATGATAACAGGAGTTGATGGTAACAGAGTTGATGGTAACAGAGTTGACGATAACAGAACTGACGATGACAGAGTTGGCAATAACAGAGTTGACGATGATAGAGTTGACGGTAACAGAGTTGACGGTAACAGAGTTGACGGTAACAGAGTTGATGGTAACAGAGCTGACTGTAACAGAGTTGACGGTAACAGAGTTGACGGTAACAGAGCTGA